GTTCACGAAATATAAAGGTATATTAAACTTGCCAACAGCTGGAGACATGGACCGTGAACCCGTTGATGATCCCGAAGGTGAGGGAACAGGCCTCAGTGGCGACACTCTTTGAAGGAGAGACTGTACCTGAGAAGTTGGAGGTGTACTTGGTGCCCTCAGGACTGGAGTGGTATTACCACTCTCCCTTCCACCGGAGTCTAAAGGAACATCGGCAGTATCCTAAATATAATACAAATCATAAGTAAAGGGTCCCACACAATAAAGAGTGAATGAAGAAAATATATTTCCCTTGAGTTACAAAATGAGCTAATTCAATCGTTAAAGAATCTTCATCATCACCCGCTACATAAGTGAAACCACACGGATGTACTACATTACAAGTGTTTCTTGTATCATTGCTGTTTGCTGGTTCTGGGCACAAGGTTGTATGTTTTCTGTCGACTTATTTGCAGGTGATCTGGTTAGCCCTTCATAAGAACCCTCCACCCTTTTTTTTTTACAGATATCTAGTGGATTATGATTTATTTCTTTTTTGCCCATAAAGATGCATAGAAACTCGGAACAAACAAAAAGACTTGGCTTTTTTTTAAACCAAATTGTATTACAGGTTCCAAAAGGATGAACTGTGTAAATATTTTTAAATATTTCTAAAAATTTTAAGAAGACTTCCGTGAAAATAAACAAGCACTGAAAAAAACTTCGTAAATAGTCAACTTTTGTGATTTGGTCTTTATTTTTTTATGACAATTTCAGTATAGAACTTAACTAATTTATTTAATATTTGGTAGCACGTATTGTAACTGTTATCTGTTTCACATGTAGAATATTACTGAAAAATCTCGATGTTACAGGTTAGAAGAATTAACTAATTAACATGAATACTATGTTGTAACCTGCTATAACCGAGAAGTAATGAAAATATATGTATATATTTTTTATGTAACAAGTTTTCAAATATATATATATATATATATATATATATAATGTACAAAAAAATTGAAAACAAAATTTTGTATATGCAAATAAGTTTATTATATACAAAAATAATTTTCGCATGTTTTTACCATTCTAACTGTAAGAATATTTCATGTAGATTTGTAGAATATAACTCTATATGCATATTTTGCCTTTTGACAGTATTACTTCTGACAAAAAAAACATTCCTTATTATGTATCACGATACCAAACCCACAGTTTTGGGTGTTACAGCTAGTTTTTAACATAAAAACATATTCATACAGCACTTCGTGACATAATAAAATATCTAAGAAATATAAACTGATGAATAGTTGAAATACGGGGGTCAAAGTTCAACAAATTTATATGAGAAAAACTATAGAGTACTGTAAATATGACGTAAGAAGTGAATTTGGATAAGCTATATGGCTTTGTTCTTTCCTTTTTAGATGTTCTATAATACACGAAATAAATGAATGATAAATCTATTATTGTGGTTGTCTCATTTAAATCTATTTTTCGGTATATTTACCTTTTTCGTTTTTTATATTAATCAAGTATTTGGTTTTTATCTTTAAGACCAATAATAATTTTTTTTTACATCTTTTGCATCAAGGTCAATAGGTAGATTTGTTTTATATTATTTATAACCATAGAAAAATATTAAAAATAAACAAATGCAGCATTGTAAAATGTCAAAATATTTAACATGAAATATTTTTATAGTTCGAGTTGTCAGACATGTTAAAATGACTTTTCATTTTGTTAATTTATTTGCTTAAGAAAGAAAACTTTTTTGCACGCAGCAGCACCTGCTCCAGACAAAACTTAAACTCCACCATTTTGTTGCTGCTGGCCCTATTGAACTGAAATTGGTGTTATAAAATCCATTAGTTCTAGTATTTCAAAGAGATACTACTTGAACACTACTCTGATACTGACTTTTGATCACTGATCTAACCAGTCCTTTGAATACACACGTACCAGGTATCTGTTTCTGTCAATATCATACTATAACCATATGGATAGATATTATTACTGTAGAAATTGAGTACGTTATATTAAAATGATTTTCAATAGTCGCCACGTCGTTACAGTCCATATCACTACGTCCGGTTATGACCTATCTAATGACCATACGCCCTCCAGTGGTACAGCAGTATGCCTGCAGACTTACAACGCTAGAAATCGGTTTTTGATACCAGTGGTAGGCAGAGAACAGATAGTCATTGTGCAGCTTTGTGCTTAATTTCAAACAGTAAAAACAACTCATGTCCATACATCTTATCACTCATCCATACTTGCTTTCCATAATTCATCTAGTGTATGCAGAAAGCTAGTTTTTCAGCGCCCGTTTCAACAGTCCAATCG